AAAAAATACTATCACACTAATACACATTACACTAAAATATTTCTATACACATTACTAAACAGTACACAATATAACACAATATAAAACTCCACTGTAATAAACCATTTAAAAATAAATACAAAATGTACACTTTAAAAGTGTTTTCAACAATAAGGTAAATCATAATTTTATTCTTCATCTAAAAACACATTTTAATATTTATTATATTTAGAGTGAAATTATATATTCTATATTATAAATGTAATTTTACCGTAAAGTTACTTCAATTAACTATTTAATAGATTTTACTGTAACATTTTACTTTTCAGTGCTAACCTAACTACACTTCCCAATACTCATTGTAGTCGTAATGGAACTGACCAATCAGCGCTCTGACTTTAAGGGGCGGTACTAGAAATGCGTTGTGTGCCGCGCTATCCAAATCTGATTGGTTAAAATAAACGTCAATCTTCCTAAGTCACTCTGCACTGTCTGCGCACAGTGACAACGCTAGCGGTTACTTCACAAGGAAGTAGTGGAAGTTGAAGTGGGAAGATGTTTAATTAACAGCCTTTACAGTTTGTTAATACGTCTGCGTATTTAATGTAACAGTTCTGTTATCACGAGCGATTAGACGTGTCATTGTGCGCTCGTGATAGTGGTGCATGTGCGTTTATTCACGTTCAGTTAATGCTGCTTCTGGGGTGGATAGGTGTCATTACTTATAGCGGTTCGGTTCTCTCACTCTCTTTAAGGAGCATTGGATTTCTAGCGTGTAAGATCATGAATTCCAGCCAGACAGTGAAGTGCATGAGTGATGGAGCTGGAAGTGTAGGCAGATGCGTCAGACCTGCTGGCGGAGACTCACTGATGGCGGCCGAGGAGAGACATCCGAGATCTGCCAGTCCCCGCGGTGTGAACGGAGAAGATGATTCTGAAGCGGAGTCCCATCAGGACGGCCGTAACGTGGATGTGGACCCGGAGACTAGGAGCAGGGCGTTCAGCTGGTGCCGTGACTTTCTGTCCGGATCATGGAAGGCTATACCGGAGCATGACTTTCAGATCAAAATAGTCAGGTGAGCAAACTATTTATAAAAGAACTTTAAGTCTCAAAATGATTTCATTTAACTTTTCATATGCACTAGTCAACACTTGAAATGTACCTTTCATCAAAAGTTGTCCTAAAACCTAAAACCAAAATGCACTCTTGTCTTAGGACAACTTTGATTAACTTTTTTGATCCACTTC